AACATCGGAGTGCTCAACTTGTGTTCTAGTTCGACGGGCTTTGGGTTGGAGTGCTCGAACGCCAAAGTCGTAGTCCGTTTTATCCTGGGAGACTGACGCCACAAAGATCCTAGCACCCTCGGGAGGTGGCAAATCGATTTTAAGGAGAGTGTGTGTACACACAACTCGGGCTTCCTCTGCTTCTTCTTGTTTCTTCGCGTTGGGTTAAAACCTCAGGTTAGAAACCCGTTCTTGCTTTTATTTTGTTCTTGGTTTCGGACCAAGTGGTGGGATTAATCTCGGAAAGATTAAATCCTTATACTAGTTTCATACTAGTTGTAGTGAGATTATTTTGATAAAATAAATCCCTAGTTGGTTAATATATATACGCTGTATATATATGTAATTTTGGTTTTGTACCAAAATTGGTTGGAATTAATTTTCTATAAATTAAATTCCATTTTTCGGGACAAATATATATTTTATATATATTCCTAACACTATTGGTGTCATTTGTTAACACTGTTGGTGTATTTTGATCTGACAAGCGACCGATATAAATGACCACTACAATTACCATAACACCCCCCACTTATCAGGACGCGCTTAAATCTTTAAATCTTCAGAAATTAACCGCTGCCGTTAGATTAAGTAAAATGGACGATGCTGATATAGCCGCATCGCCGCACCTAAAGCCACTGCCGCATTTGAGCGCTAATATATATATATATATATATATATATATATATATATATATATATATATATATATATATATATATATATATACAGAGAGAGAGAGAGAGAGAGAGAGAGAGAGAGAGAGAGAGAGAGAGAGAGAGAGAGAGAGAGAGAGTTAGGATCATATGAGAACATGTGTTTAGGTGAGAACGTGAGAACACATTATGTGCATCCTTCTAATATTTTTTAATGGTCTAGATTAGATTAAGTGTGTGCGAACGCGCATTAAATGTGTGCAAACACACTAACTCGCGTTTGCACACATTTAATGCGCGTTTGCACACACTTAATCTAATCTAGACCATTAAAAAATATTAGATGGATGCACATAATGTGTTCTCACGTTCTTACCTAAGTACATGGAACCCAACCCTATATATATATATATATATATATATATATATATATATATATATATAGACAAAGGATCATATGAGGTCATGTTTTTAAATGTGGTCTGTGGTCGAAGTCTGACATTTAATTTTGGTTGGATCTATAGCTCTTGTTTTCTGATTTATTTTTGGATTTATTTTTTTCCTTTTTCACGCCATCTTGATCTAGGGGCTCATTAGTCTTTGTATTTTTTTTTCCTTTCTTTGTTTTTTTTTTTTTTTTTTTTTTTTTTTTTTTTTTTTTTCGACTGATTTGCCATAGTTTTAAGATATTAAATTTGGTAATTAAATATATTATTTATTCATCTTTATATACTGCCTCTTTTTCATATTCTTTGTTTATATTTTGGCGAAGAGTACAGACTCTTTTATTTATTCGTGCTTCATTTTCTGTGCTATGGATTCCCCAGGTTTGTGTTTTCGTTTGTTCTAATATATAAGTATTGTGCAGTTTTTTTTTTTTTTTTTTTTTTTTTTTTTTTTTTTTTTTTGTGCATTTGTATTTCGTTGGCTTCATTCGTCTTGTAGCGTTATGTATTGTTTTTAAATATATTCATTGTCTTCATTTTGTTTGTTTATTGGGATTGTGGGTTTCATATATATAAACTGTGTCTGTTATTTTATTTTTTTGTGGGTGTGTTTGGTGTGTTTTGTTTTGTTTTGTTTTTTTTGTTTTGTTTTGTTTTGTTTTTTTTTTCCTTTCTTATTCTCATTTAGATATATAGCTAATCTACGATTTTAGATATATAGCTAATTTCCATCTCTTTCTTTTGTTGCTTCATCATGTCTTGCATGTGTTGTTTGAGTTTTTTTTTTTTTTTTTTTTTTTTTTTTTTCAATTGTATCTTATTCTCATTTTACTCTTTTGCAATACCTATTACCTATTTTTTTGTAGTGAATAATTTTTTTTTTGTGTAATTCTTATTCATTTACAATTATTGTGCATTTCTGAACTGTCATTTCTTTTTTATTATACACGTGGTCGATTTTTTTTTCCAAACGTTTTTATAAAATGCAAATTAGTAGTAGTTGTGATCGTTGGGATATTTGGGCATGATGGCTTCATCCAACTATTTTAAAAATTTTTTCTGTTATTTCTGCATGTGTTATGGACGTTTTTCCATGTGGGACAAAGTGTTGGATGCCAGCGTGTGAAGAGGACGTTATGCCTTTTATGGGCCAATGTTTTGAACCTGGGTTTTAGTTTTTTTTTTTTTTGAATGTAACCTGGGTTTTAGTTAATTTATAAGGTTTGGTCGTTTGGTTAATTTGATATTAGTATACATATACATTTTCATTCAACCTTAGTGTATTGTGATTCAAGTGTGCTGTGTATTCCATTTACTGTGTTTGCGAAAATATATTAGTGTGTTCTTTTCCCACATGCATATTAGCTTTGTCGATGGAAGAGCAAGCTGTGGACATCTAAATAAACTAATACTACATTTTATTGCAAAATGCATTTTCATGTTTTTAAAAAAAGAATTACAGCAACTGTATAATTTGTAAGAAAAGAGTGATAGAAGAAGTGTAATTCCATTCCAATAGTTGTCCATATTTCGAGTTTGTACAGCTCACTAAAACCAGAGTGCACACTCAGGCAAAGTAAAATACTGCCCAGACAGTATTCTCCACAAACCTATAATATACACGTTAGAAAAACATGCATAATTGCACAGCAACAATATTCGTTGATGCATACATTGATGCACACATTCACTAACATATAAAACGCTCACTAATGCACATTTTTGCAAAATATATGTGCACAGAAACAAAAAAACTTTAGGCACACATGTCATTGTAATAATCTGCCAACAATTCACCACCGAATAATACCCAAAACCATGTTCACTTTCAAACCTATTAAATTCGTGAAAACGCGTAAAATAAGCATAAAAAATTGTTCATGCACTGAATCTAGTTTGAACTTCTGACTAATAATATAGATCCCTACGTGTCCACAGTTTCATATCCAACAAAAAAAAAAAAATCAACTCCAAAACCATACGTGTTCACAGCTTCAACATGCCTCACAAACCACAAACGTTAAATCACACCCATTTTTCTCGCGTGTCTTGAAACAGGGGTGTGCTCATGATGTTTAATATTCCGCCCTACCTCCATCTTGGTTATCCTGTGTATTTGGTCCTCCTTGCACTTGGATCAACGAAATATTCATCGCTGTTATGGCCGACCGTATCTTCTACTGGTTTCTTCTTCGATATATGGTTCATTGCGGCAAATTAAAGGTTCATAACAACGGAAAATTAATTAATTAGAACCTCTATGAATTAATTAATTTATGGTTCATCTACATGAATTGTTATCTTAAGAAAGATTGTTAAAAATTAATTAGAACTTCCATCTTTATATTATGAATTATTTTCTTTCTTCGGTTGGTGAACTAATCACTATGCCGTTAGTTTTTTTTTTTTTGTTTTTTTTTTTGTTTTATTTTGTTTTGTTTTTTTTTTTTTTTTGTGCATCGGTGATGTCTGTGTTTGTGCAGTGTATTTATCATTTCAGAAATGCACGTAATATTTACTCTACAGTGCACACAAAAACATATACAACCAACCAAACTAATGTGTGTTGTTACCACGCGTAAATGCATAAAAAAAACTAACCATACTGCATAGTCTTTCTTCATTAAATGAATAAAAGTCAAACCCAAATCCAACAACCAACCCAACCATTGCGTATTGTTAAAAATTACACTTGCACAAATATGCATAACCGTATTGCACACTGGTTCTACCCCATCTGTCTAGCCTCATTGTCACCTCAATCCTTCGCACTTCCCTTTCTCCTCCATTTTCTGAAGTTGAAGACCTACGAACCTGCACAAACCATTCCATCGAACCACCACCGCAAACCATTCTCGGGAACCCGTCATTTTTTCCTGTGTATTTTTACACATTTGAACACCCATCCTCTGATTTATATACACCATTGAATAAATTCACCATGGCCAGAGAGTATCGATAAACACATCTACAAAAAAGAACGATAATATCGATACCTATTTTCTTCGAGGCCTCCAGTGATGCTCTCTGTTTGCTCCGGCAGGGGATGCGTCGGTCATTGCTTCAGAAATTAATCAGACAGAAAAACCTTGATTCGATGGTAGAGCCTCTTCTTCTCGCGAGTTAGACACTCCCAAAGCTGAAGTCCTAGGGTTTTTACTCCAACTGCACAGACGAAGGAGATAGAAGATTGAGCAAACGGATTTCTCGCATGTTCCATCTATAACATCTGCACAATGAAATTGTTTTTACTTTTTTACCCCTCTTGCCTTAATTATTTTGCACGTTAAATATTAAACCATGTTTAAAACCCATTCTATTGTGCAATCTCAACCGTTCATCATCATATTTGGAAGGTTATCAATTGTCCACACTCCTCATGGGGATATTGTTCCTACTTGAGCCTTACCCTATATATATATATATATATATATATATATATATATATATATATATATATATATATATATATATATATATATATATATATATATATATATATATAGGGTGCCATTCACATGCAAACCCTCTTAACATACAAACCTGTGGATTAATATGAGCCATAAGATTAAAATAGATTAATGACTTAGATTGAAGGAAAAACAATTAATCCATCACAACAATTAACGATTAAAAGGGTAGTTATGACAATTACAATCTATCCTAATTAGACTAAAAATACGAAACTGATATATATCATAAAATAATGAAGAGTAGTTACAGTAGGATTACAATTAACAAAGAGGAACCAGATCAGACAGCGGCAGTTCATTACCAAACGGCAAAAACTCCCCATAAACACCACGGTAGTTCATCCCTCGCCGGCAACAGATTTTCCAGCAAAGAACACGGTAGAAAACATGGATGCAAACTTCGGCACTATGCCGCCACCACCACCAGGTAACCCCCGAAACTGATAACTATAGTTTACCTACACTGTATTAAGAATCTGAAATTGTATGTGTATCACTTTTCAAGGCTACCATGCACGCATTTGTAAAACTCCATAAGCCTGCAAAACCCATAGATAATACAACCTGGGGGGGGGGGGGGGGAACAATGACCCATGCTAGAAGGAATATGCGCACATAATCAGTAACTACCGTGCACAAATCAGAACCCCCCACTAGGCTGTTAAAACACCCAGACCCTGAACTAGAGACTGATGGTAGAAACACGTGGAATCAGAAATCTAGTTTGCCCCCAAGCACACAACCCCATACTAGCATGCACACATCTAAAACAGGCCCAGCGAATGGGCACAACACACAGGCAGTGACACATTCATAGGACGCATGCAAATCAGAAACTGGTCAAAGAGTTAGGGTTTAGGTGCACAATAAACGACCAGATTAATGCAACTGTAATGCTAGTGCACAAAATTAAAATTGAATGTTAATGGTACCGCACATCATTTCAATTGGACACCACTTCTAATCTGTATGTATTGTGCTCCACAGGTGAGGAACAATCTGAACCCAATGTAAAACAATGTCACATGGAAATAGGCGATGACGGTGACAAATATTGGACACCTGCAACCCAAAAACAGACGACACCATATGAAGGACAACGATTCGAAACAATAGAGGCCGGGATTGATTTCTACGAAACATATGCAATGGAGGCAGGATTTGATGTTAGGCATGGCACAAAGCGTAGAAATCGCTTTGGGGAAGTGTATATTAAATACATGTTGTGTTCACGGGAGGGATACAAGGCCAAAAGGAAGGAACCCAACAACACCACAAAAGAACGAAACAAACGGCGAAGAGTGTCCAACAGAATAGGTTGTATGGCGCGTATGGTAATCACAAAGTGTGACACTGGCGGATACAACGTCCATGCAGTCCAGCTGCGACATAAACACTGCCTATGCTCGGAGGACAGCAGACCTTTTTTAAAGATAAATAGGCAACTTGACATCGGCCACAAAACATTTTTGGCAAACTGTGCGAAGGCAAACATAGGCCCGACAAAAGCTTTCAGACTGTTCAAAGAGATGGTGGGAAGTTTTACTGATATCGGAGCAACCTGCATTGACTTCTGCAATTTTAGGCGAGACCTATTAGCCTATATTGCTGAGGCAGACGCACAAATGGTGATAGAAGACTTGTTCAAAAGAAAAGAGGCAAACCCGGACTTCTATTTCGATTTCGACATAGACGAAGAAGCTCAATTATCTAGGATATTCTGGGCAGACGCAGAATCTCGGCGGAATTTTGCATGCTTCGGCGATGTCATGTCATTCGACGCAACTTACAGCACAAACAGGTACACATCAAATTAGTTTATAGTTGGTGACCACTGTGTGTGCATGCCTTACAATACACATGTGCGCATAATATAATGATGAAAAATAAAAAATAATACCCTGTGTGCATGATACACAATACCAGTGTGCGCAGCAGTAACAAATATGGAAACCTTATAACCCAAAAAATAGCGTGCAATAATGACTCTAACAATGCTTACATCGCAGGTACAAGTTAGTCTTCGTCCCTTTCACGGGGGTGGATAACCACAAAAGGTGCATAACATTCGGGGCAGGACTGATTGCGAAAGAAGATGTAGAGTCGTATGAGTGGCTACTAAAAAGGTTCAAAACAGCAATGGAATACACCCCAAGATGTACTATAACTGACCAGGATCCAGCACTAAAAATAGCAGTACCACAAACTATGCCAACAACACGGCACAGATTCTGTATGTGGCACATTATGACAAAAGTTGGTGAAAAGGTAGGACTTACCTTGTGGCATAACGACAACTTCAAGAAGGAACTGAATAGTATCGTATGGGATGACACGCTGCCCGTAGATGAATTCGAGAGAAAATGGAAGACACTAATGAAAGACTTCAATCTTGAAGAACATAGGTGGTTTGCCCAACTGTATGAGGCGCGTGCATCATGGATACCTGCGTACTTCACAGACATACCCATGGGAGGATTGTTGAGGACAACATCAAGGTCAGAATCAGAAAACAGCTATTTCGGAAAATTTACAAACCACCACTGCAGCTTGGTAGAATTCATGGCGCAATACAATAGCGCAATTGGAGAACAACGACATAAACAAAAAAAACTCATTGCAGAGAATGAAGGCTCGTACCCTGAAACTAAAAGCCCTTTGAGCATTGAGAAACACGCTGCTAACGTGTACACCATAAACATATTCTATGAATTCCAAGAAGAGATATGGACAGCCAGTTTCAAGTGCCACATCACCGACAAAAACCACACAGGCGATATATGGAAGTACACAGTTGAGGAAACAGGGAAGAAAACGTTTGAAGTAACACACACCCCAAAAGCGGAGAAAATAGAGTGTCCATGCAAGAAATTCAACCGTGTTGGTATACTATGCAGGCATGCGTTGGTGGTTATGAAGGCAACAGGATATGAAACAATCCCACAAAAGTATATTGTTCCACGCTGGACACGAGATGCACGCACACAACCATTGTACGATGTCCCGTGGGCAACAAGAACAAATATTCCCACAACGAAGGAATCAGAAAAAGTTGCCAATCAACTTTGGAGTGAATTCTACACCTGCATGGGATTGGCAAATGGTTGGCCTAACAAAATGGATCAAATGTTGGCAACATTGCAACAACTAAAAGAAGATCTACAAAGGGAGAGGCCACAAACACAAGAGAGTGACAACAATGAATCTGTGCTTGAAAGGCTAGTCGGATCAACCAAACCAGGAGACATACAAATAAAACCACCCAAGGTAGCAAAAAACAAAGGAAGTGGGAAGAGAATCAAAAGCTGCAAAGAGAAAGCCACAACAAAGAAACAAAAGAAAAAAGAAAGGACATGCAATATATGCGACCTACCAGGCCACAACAGTCGCACCTGCCCAGATAGACTTGCATCAAACGAAATTTAGTATAAGTTTATTTCAAAAAACAATGAACAATGCCATTTACTTTTCAATTAGGAACTATTTGATAATTTATATGAAACAAATTTTATTTTAATAACAATAACTGATACGAAAAAAAAAATAGCACACACCATGCAAACACCCTACCATACATACGCGCACAGAGATGCAACAACCGGCCAAATTATTCCTAGGTTGTGGTTTTGAAAAAATCACCAGCATTACACCCTACGCACACAGAAAACCACATACGCGCACACTTCAAGGAGGATTAAACACCTAGTTGCTACAGTAGCGCACACAACAAAATACAATGGTGCACATGTGCTAGATACCACCGCAAACTAAAACCTAACTATAATATAGCCAATTATTATCCAAATTGTTATCTCTAACCTTACTGTATTCTTCAATTTTGTGCATCTTCTACATTCTTATTTAGAATATGATGACAACGATTAATAATCATGTATATTTATAACCAAGCTGACAACGACGCACACCACAACACACAACGCCGCACACATGCTCGAAACTAACCCTAGCGCACGAAAAATATGTTCATCCGCACAAAAGCAGCACGATATAAACTACCAGAACATCTGAAAATTTTAAGTCAATTACTAGTGCAGTTTACATACAAGTTTAATTGTATTCTACAATTTATTGGATCTTCTATATTCTTATTTAGAAAATGATGACACCGGTTAACAGTCATGTATATTTTCAAACAAATGTTTGGTCTTTAAAAAGCAACTGTTCGATACCGCACACAACAGATAGTCAATAGCGCACACATGCTGGGGGGTAAGAACCAAAAACTGAAGCTTAAATTAAAGGCTGTAGCTTAAATTAAAGGCATGGTTTGTGTCGTACAGGTATCATCATAAACTAATATGGGTAGAAACTGATGCACAAACGATTAAACGTACAAGGGTCTCCAAAAGTAACGCCAGCACATTCAGCAATATATATGTGCATGCCATAGCAGAAATACAAAAAGAACTAGATAGCGAAAATGACTACATGGACGGAAGAGGAACTTCTATCGACTGATAGGCGCGAGAAAGGTTGGTCGAACGATGCACGTTATAGTCAAACACGACAAGCTCCTTCATGTAACGCAACCTCAGCTTGTGCAAAGTCGTAATGTCCCCCTTTACTAGACCACAATCCCAATCAGGAACACGCTGCCCAAGATACGACTCCATGTGATGCATCATAAAGACACCACAATCAATCTTATTCTTTGAATCCCGCCAACGCATTTGCAACCGCTTAGAGCACACACAAACACAAGCAGCAGACCTCTCGGGAGAAATATGTTCATAGAATTTGGATAACATGCCTTGCTGTAATAGAGACAAAAATGAAATATTGGAACACCATTGAAAGTATAGACTAAGGGGGAAATGATTAACAGACACAAAACAACAGGGGGACGGGGTGTAACAAGAACAAGACTAACCAGATCCTCAACAGAATCGCCGTATTTCAACGACTTTGCCATGGGATAAGAGTCATTGTCAATAATCTCATACTGAAAGCGAGGGAAATCAAAGCACAACAAGAAATAATGCCCCCGGCGCAGAATGGGGAAAAAGAGCTGCACACAACAAAGCAACCACAAAGGGGGTGATGTAGCCGTGCACAGAAATGTAACCCAATGAGCACAAAAAAAAAAAAAAAAAAAAAACAGTAACGCAATACAACAGCGTATACCACACAATCACCGTCCGGCATGCAAACCCAGCACCCAAAGAAAAAAATGTATAATACACAATCCGGCATGCAACCCCAACACCCAAATAACAAATTACAGGGGTTAAAAACCCCTAAATACAAAATCCGGCCACAATTCCGGCAACACCCACACCCCACGACCGCACACCCCCAATTAAACGCTCGGAAATTACCCACAAATAAAAAATTACAAGGATTAAAAAACCCCTAAATACAAAGCCCGGCCACAATTCCGGCAACACCCACACCCCCCGACCGCAAACCCCAAGTTTTGCTCGGAAATTATAAAAATCCAAAAGATGCACGCAATAACGGAACAAAACAAAAAAATACCCAAAGAAAAAAGTGTATAATAGAAAGGGAACAAACCTCGGCAGACAATAGGTGGTCCCCGCCTCTTCACCGTACCGTGGTCCCCCCCGACAACCATAGCTACGTAGGCGAGGAGAATGGAAGCAACCCGACGCGATTCACTGAGGTCGTCGAAGCACTGCCTGCCCACGGTGAACGAACGGACGAAAGAATGGAGAGGGACCTAGCGTGCGCGTGGAATTAAGACTACACTGACTAGGATTCTACAACTCAGCGTGGAATTGAGACTACACGGACTAGGTTTCTAGAACTGCAAAATACCAAAACTACCCCACTTGACATAAAAACCTATTAAAAATAACACTACAGCTTACGAGATGACATGCGCAAATCACAACCATCAAATATAAAAATCCAAGGGCTCAATTCAGTCCACAGGTTTGTATTTTAAGATGAGTTTTTACCTGAATGTAAATCTATATATATATATATATATATATATATATATATATATATATATATATATATATATATATATATATATATATATATATATATATATATATATATATATATATATATATATAGTTAGGATCAGGTGAGATCACCTTGCTTGGATCGTGAGATTGTTCATCCAATTAATTTTAATTAATGGTAAGGATTGAATTAAAAACCCATTTATATTAGGATATAATTAATATATAGGGGTGGCATGATAATTTTAGTTACTTCTTTGAATTGAAATATAATTGAAACAAAATATTATCCTTATTTAGAGGGATTCTAATAATTCTATCAATGGTAAGAATCAAAACTAAAAAAAAAGATTAAAAACTTAAACTCAGGAATCATATTGAATAGAACCCAACAGTGGACGAACTCCAGTTGACTTCGATGGATGAAGAAAACATTGGTAAGTTTTTTTTTTTTTTTTTTTTTTTTTTTTTTTTTTTTTCGTTTTCTACAGGGGGTTTCAGTTTGGGGCGTGTGCATGTGATATTGGGGTCATGTGCATAATTGTACGTTTTTAGTATGTATATGGCCTACTCTAAATGTGTGCAAACACGCAAACTAGTATGTGCATTTTACTCAGCGACCCCATTGCTGTGGAACAATACTGAGCACTGTGCATATTTGTCCATGAGGGTGTGCGATATAAATCATCGTAGTGCACACATGTGCATATCCGCCCATGGTTTCTATTGCACACACTCATGGACGGATATGCACAATGCTTAGTATTATTCCACAATATTAAGGACACTCGGTAAAATGCACACACCAATTTGCGTGTTTTCACAAATTTAGGGTAGGCCATATGCATACTAAAAACGTACAGTTATGCACACGACCCCCATATCAAATGCACACGCCCCAAACTGAAACCCCTAGTAAAAAATGGGAAAAAAACTTACCTATGTTTTCTTAAGCCATGGAAGTCAATTGGAAAAATAGGAATGATAATTTATTTTGTTCCCATTGTATTATATATATATATATATATATATATATATATATATATATATATATATATATATATATATATATATTTTTTTTTTTTTAAGGTATAAAAGTATAATTGCACAATATTAGTATAATTAGCAAATAATTATTATGATAATTAAAAGATTAATTTTTACAAATATTATTAAATTAATTAATAATTTATTATGCCAATTAAGCTAATAATTAAAAGAATATTAGTATAATTACAAGTAAACATGTGCCATTAGATTTTTTATATAATAATTACAATTAATTCATTTATATATAGAGTAGGAGGAAATAAAGTAAAGGTGATATGGTGAAAATGAATATATTTAAGCTATTAAAGTATAATTGCATAGATATTAGTATAATTGACTAATAATTATTATGGTAATTAAGCTAAACATGGATTGTTGGATATATTTTTTATAAGAGAAAAGGGCCAAATAGGCCCCTAAATTTTATCTCAAAGGTCAATTAGCCCCATAAACTTTACAATAGTGCAATTAAACCCTCAAACATGTCAAATTGGGTCAATGAAACTCAAAAAATGATAAATGACCTGTTATTACAAGTCATTTGAATTCCGGCGACAAATTCCGACCAATGGTGAAAAAATCCGGTCACCGACGACAAAATCCGGTCGTCCGGTGACTGGATGGCCGCCTTCTCCAATGGAGAAGACGACTAGACGGCCGTCTTCTCCATTGGAGAAGACGACTAGATCTGGCCGTTCTTCTCCATTGGAGAAGGAATGGAGAAGACGGCCAGATCTGGTCGTTCTTCTCCATTGGAGAAGGTGGCCGTCCAGTCGTCGTCTCGATTGGAAGACGGTCGGACGACCGGATTTTGTCGCCGGTGACCGGATTTTTCGCCGATCGCCGGAATGTTACCGGAATCTATTGTCGGAACCGAATTGAATGTTACCGGTTTTTGGACTTCATTGACCCAATTTGACATGTTTGAGGGTTTAATTGCACTTTTGTAAAGTTTAAGGGGCTAATTGACCTTTGGGATAAAGTTTAGGGGTCTATTTGACCCTTTTTTTTTATTTATTTATAATAATTACAATTAAATTATTATCATTTTTTCTCCTATTTATTTGAGTAATAATATAATTACATAAATCATATTACATAATGATTTTTTAAGATAATTACAGATAAATGAGTTATATATTATTCAATTAATTGAGTGATACTTTTGCACTAATCTTATCTTATAATCAAATAAATGTTCATTTTCATATATTAGAATTGTTTATAATTTCATCTTTAATTTTATTATCTAAATATATAATAAAAAAATTTATCTGTGCATCCCACGGTAATTGGGCAATTATTTGCTTGAATTCAAGCAAGGATAACATCAAAAAACATAATCGATCCAACCTATTTCATCAATTTCACAATATAATATTTGTTGTTATAATTTATGTAATTTTATATCGATTCAAATAT